ACATAGATTTATACGTAAATACGTGGAGTTACCTGTATTCCCGTTTGTCGGGAAGCGGCTCGTATTTGACCGATCAATTCGACCGATTAGATCGACCCTAGTAAATACAGTTGTCCCGAAGATTTTTCATGTTTGGGCAACGGAGATTTACCGATGTTATGTAGCTGGAGCCAAGATTATAATTTTCCAGGCTCATTTCTCCGCAATCGATACAATACTGCGCTAAACGGGTTGGCTTTGACCCAGTAATCGTGTCTGTTCGGCAGTGGCATTGGATTAATTATCGGGTTACCGTGCCGGATGTTTAGACGGTAAAAGCTTTGATTACGAAGCTGCTGTGTAAATTCCGAAAATAAGCGCCGACTAGGTCTTTGAATTCCACGGGCGTTCCGCCACGCCGCACCATGGACCGGATCGAGAAATTCAGTGACATACTGTTAAATACTGAACTCTTCCATGTCGATAATCAAACAATTTGTATTGCTTTACAAAGACTTATGGACCTTAGAATTGAAGAAATTAATGAAATTGAATAAATATTTTAGTTACTATGAACATTTAAAGTGGAGCGTCTTAAAAGTAGGATATTTCACCTGACAAAACTCCTCACCTTTCTCGTGATGCCCTGATTACAGTAATGTCTCCCTAACTGACGCTCAGATTGTGCATAAAAATGGACAATTTGAGAAGAGGAGGGAAATTGTCCATTTTTGCGGACAATCTGAGCGTCAATTAGAGGAGACATTACTGTATTGTGTTCCATATTTTCTCTCAGCCTTTTGTACAATGAAAGATTATCCCTTTCTAATAAGAAATCATACCTCTTTTTAGTCGTTGCTAAGAATAATAAATATCCTCTTTTTTAAGTTTATTATTCTTAGCAACGACTAAAAAGAGGTACGATTTCTTATTAGAAAGAGATAATCTTTCATTGTAAATATATATATATATATATATATATATATATATATATATATATATATATATATATATATATATATANTATATATATATATATATATATATATATATATATATATAATATAATAATAATATATAATAATAATATAATATAAATAATAAATATATATTATTATTTATATATATATTAGCAAAAGAGAATATTTTCGTTACAGTTTCCTGTAAACACCTGTTATAAGATCATATCCGTCATGACCCGCTCTTTGCAATTATAATCATTTAAAGACAACTGCATAACGCTGCTCAGGGCGCACCCAAGCGCGGCGCGATGTGTCTATCATTGGGACCCCGTGAAACGCGATGAGATCCAAGTATTCTTGCGATTCGAAACATTTGAAATATTTCTGCTATTCTGTAGATAAGCATAAGACTAAGTTTTTCAATACTTGGCTGCCTTAGCTCAAAACGATACAAGAGTGAACACTGACATATTGGAAGCAACTTTAGAAAATTTCGAACTGTTCTGTAGTTTTCATCGTTTTATTTTGTTCATAGTTTAAGTTTATACCAGTATAGTTAATGTGTATTTAGTTATAGCGTGTTTGTTATATGTATATTCATATTCATCCGTGTTTGGTTAAATGCATTAGTGAAATTTATATTTTAGTTTCTATTCAATATCGACATTTATAATGGAAGAAAGAAATTCAAGAAGTTCAACTAAAGATTTGGGTGAATACCTATTTATAAATAAAGATATATGCGAGGTACTGAACGTTTCTCTCGAAAATTCTGGCAAACTCAAGGCTAGTTTAAGAACATTTTGTTACGAATTAAGAAGAAAAATGGGCTCAATCGTATTACAGTGAAAAGATATTTCATCATCGTAACAAACAGTGGTTAGCCGAAGATTTCACATATCCTACTGGAGCAATAGCACAAACTCCATCTTCATGAGAAGTTGTTGCGTTGTATAAACTCGCTGTTATTTTTGTTATTAAATTGTTATTGTTAATTTTATTTAAGACGTTCTTGTTGTTGGTCATTTTACCACGAAGCCTCGTAGGGTTAATCTCTACACTATACGATACATATTCGAAAAGTAGAAAATAATCTGTACAATTATATTTGAATAATTTTCTTTTTCATAAAAATATCAATGAAAATAAATTAAAAATTATCGTTTAACAAATGCAAAAAATATTCAATTATCTAAGTTAAAAATGACTATTTTTTAAATGTTTTTAGTGAAAATTTCATTACAATATCTCTAATGGTTCAAAAATTATAACAGAATGTCACTGTATCTCTCGATAAGGTCCACTGTGGGCCATCGAGAACGTTCGTTTGCAAACTGTTAATCTGTAGGACGTTATTAATCCATTACACTCGAATGACGACTCTGAGACATTTCTGACATTTCGAAATAGTTAGTAGAAAAAGACTGTTAAAAGTTTAAATGTTATGCTTAAAATGCATGGAAATACCGTGTAACATTGTCTAATTTATATAGATGAAAAAAATTAATGTACCATGAATTTATATTCACAATTTATAATACGTGCAGTGAGTGACGTTAACGTTTGGACATCATTTAGAACACAATAATTTTATTCGAATTGATTGAAACGTCTCGAATTTATTTTAAATGTCTTATATATTTTTATATCATTTATATATTTTTTAAATGTTAATTTTCTTTATAAGATAAAAGATTAAAGAGTTAAAAAATGTAGCTTATTTAACTTTTTTTTATCATTTCAACCAATTGCAATTTTCGCAAATATCTTTTTCAGAGAGATTTATGTTAAAACATTACTCATGCATACGAATATAATATAAAGCCATACAAATATTATGAAAATTAGGTACCTCTTCTATTAAGAAAATGGGTTTAATGAACCGGAGCAGTAGCCTCCAATCGAATGCAAGATAACGTTAAATCGAAAATTACAATATATGTACTTTGGATTACAAGGTGATCTCAATTTATACACGTCCCCGTCTAGTAGTTCCGATTTTAGTCGTACTTCATCTGGCTTTCGTTAAATTCATTTACACTCGGTTCTGCCGTTTCTCATTTACCTAATGAGAAACGCTTGAGTAAAGTAATTCAGTGTACTTCGAATCTTACTTAGTATGATTGAAATGTTATGCATCAAGTATAAGTCAAATTGATTACACTGAACTATTGTGATGAGTTTATGTTATAACATTGTTCAACGTAAAGTGTTTGGGAATTTTGAGAATGTGTAAATTAATATAAGTATAATTTTTGGACAACTTTGGGAAGTCAAGTTATAATTAAATGATAGGAAAATGAAATTATAATTAAATTAAATTTTGGAAAACGAAATTATGATTAAATTAAATCATGGAAAACGAAATTATAATTAAATTAAATTATAGAAAACGAAATTATAATTAAATTAAATTATGGAAAACGAAATTATGATTAAATTAAATTATGGAAAACGAAATTATAATTAAATTAAATTATGGAAAACGAAATTAAAATTAAATTATAGGAATTTTAATTATAATTGATATTATTTTGGTTGAGATTTAATCTCCCGTAAGAATGCCTCAAATTATGAAATTACAATATTCAAAACGGGATTAAATTTAGGTTCATGGTTAGATATTCTTGTGAAGTTCCATATTTCTTAAAATATTTAAAAAAAATCTGGTTTCAGCTAAATTTCTTGAGAAATATTCAGAAAAATGTAATTTGTAATTTAAAGATTGATTAAGATCAATGCAATACCTTGCAATCTTTTATGGGAAATATATGATTTTATGAGAGGTTTCTGATCTCGCTTTGAAACCGTTAACTTCATCATCGATGGACGAATGTATCGTTTTCATCGGCGACACAAATCATACGCAATGAAGACCCACGAACATGGTTGAACGCCGTAAAAAAATTCCGATCCCTGTCTCAGTTTCTTCATCGAAGACCGATTCCCGTACCCGATCGAATTACATGTTTTTCGTTCGTGCACCTTCGGATTCAAACAAAAACGAAGGAAACGAAAGTGACACTATATTACGGTGCATGTCGCATATAATCCCTGAAATCAATATCAAACGAGAGCATGAAAAATATTTCGGGGCTGATATTTTACTTGTATTTACTTTCACCAGAATAATCGTCGTATTACTTGCTGGTAGTCGTAATTGAAAATTAAGTTCTACATCTGAATATGGTAGTATTATTACATCTGGTATGTTTTAAAAAATGTTAATATTTATAATTTCGTTCTCCTGGTGTTCCTACACCAGAATTATATACAAATACATTTTCTCGATTCATGATTTTATTTTATTAAAAATAAATTACTTTTATGCGTTGAATTGTATGGGGTGTTAGGAAATTAAAAAAAAGTCGGCATAGTTTAACGTGCATCGCATATTATTTATCCTGAAGGCTAACTTTTTGCGGATAGTGTTCAATCTTTGTTTCTTAAAAATACTTTAAAGTGAACTTCTCCATAATATACTCTCAATGAATTAAATATGCATAATCGATTCTATATTTATTTCTAGTCGAATGATCTTGAAACAGATAAATATTCTTCATTACACTGCGGATCTTTATGCAAAACAAATATTGTATCTAAAAAGTTCTATCCCTCTTTAACAATTTTAACAAGTTGAAATGATGTATTGGTATTCTTCGCTTACTTAAAATTTGCTATTTTCTTAAATTGCACTTACTCGTTTTTAACACAGACGCATAAAGTTCGTATCATAATAAATAGTTTAAGCAATTTAGCGATCTCTCCAATAGTCAGTAGCAAAAACCCAGTGTACTAACTTGAGACATAAAAGGTTCATTACAATTTTCGAGTTTTATTAAATAATTACAGTAAATTCTCTCCGATTGTCCCTCAGCTTGTAAACAAAAATGGATAATTTAGGAAGAAGAGATACGATTATTCGACCCTTGCGAGTCACGAGGCCCAAATAATCGCATCTCCTCTTCCCAAATCGTCCATTTTTGTTTGGAAGCTGAGGGACAATTGAAGAAAATTTACTGTACCTCCCGTTTTTAGAAAAAACTCCGTTCGAACATGCTTATTTCGTTAAAAAAGTCTGCTCGCTTGTAATTTTGTATGAAAAGAAACGTTGCTTTCAGGAACTTCTCTAAAAAAAAACACTTTTATGAAACAGATATTCTGGAGTCTGTCTAATAAAATATGATTAAATGTATAATCTCGTATTCGTACCAATTAAATTTCGAAGAATTTCGAATTAAGAGCCATGGTAAAGAGGACTTCCATGCAAATGAAGTTTGGAATGGAATCGAGTACATTTGGTATGATGAATCCCTATAACATTTGCTTCTCGTTTGATTCCAGGTCCCTGGAAGTGTTCGTCCAGCAAGGTGTGACCCACTCGGAACTTCTGAAAGCTCAACGGACAGCTGGTAGTTCCGGATTAGGCGGCCGCCTCAGATATCCCAACTCAGTGATACTGTGGCTGCAGTCCGACAGGGTGAGTCCTTTATCTCGGCAATCTTCGAAGCCATTCCAGCACAGGAATCCCTGAAAGCGAAGTTCCCAGCTGCCCAATGAGTTAACCCCTGGGCTTATGATTTATTTTGTGAGCAGACTCGCGTTGTCTCCTTTGCCGTACAGCTGGGGAAACTTTCGAGAAGAAAATATCTCAAATGCTATTCAAAAGGGAGATCGGATACCCGATTGCACTAATAGGATGTATTGTGCACGTCGTGTCTCCTTCGTTGCAAGTATTGGGTCTAAAAGGTCTTTCGACAAAAGCAACCGATAGTTTCTTGTAAATGGAATACGTTTAAATTTCACAAATTTATCGAATTTTGATTGTGACTTTTGGTACGATCTTTCACAATTGTCTATGAAATACAATATCAGCAAAATGACCACCCGTACTCCTTTTGCACAATCACCCTTTTTTTCTATATATTTTTATAACATCTTCGCGCAATAGCTGTTGCATTTCTTCAATCACCAGCGGTATTTTATGCATTTATTGTAGAAACGAGTAGGTGTAGTTCGAAAGAATAAAATGATGGAAAGGAATTAAGAATGCAGATGTATTAATTTGAACTTATCAAAAATATTGCTGAAGAAAGATAAATTTTGTTTAGCTCCTATGTGTTGCAATTGGTGCAGGCCATTTCTATTTTACGTAAAAATCCGCAGTCTGTTTATAACTAGACGGTGAATATTTGTGCAAGATAAAAATGATCCTAGCTGATTGTCAGAAACAGAAATTGATATGTCGAAAATAGTGTAGCAATATTACCCAATTCTTTGTATGTCTCTTTAGAATTTTGTATTTCAGTTGCTCATTTTTGCCGTAAATGTACAAAATCCGCAGTCGAGCGATAATTGCCGAGGCGTTTTTCGCTTCCCTCGGAAACTGTTGAACAGCGGCAGGACGTTGGTCGACCGTTTTCAAGGCTACCCACAGCCTACAAGCCGAAGCAATCGTACAGTGTTTCATAACATTGCGCTACTTGATAAACGATAAAGTTTATCGCCCCGCCGTTATGCTCGCTGGAGCTGTTAACGAACGACTGAAAGAGATAATTCGTCCATTCAGATTCCGTTTATTACGAGGCTCGAGTCGTCGTCACGTGTAAACTTCCGTCTGTGCCCGATGCTCCGTCGCATGATTTACTCGGTTTATGTTAAATAATGCGACGAGGTTTATCGTGATATCCAAACGTGGGAAGATACCGTGGCGACAAATACGGTATCCGAGTGGTTTAACGCTCGAGTTGTGGCGGGAGAAATGTTCGTTGTAACGTTGAGCAACGAACCGCTCCAGGAATTTTAATTCCTTTCTTTGGTTTAGCTTCCTTCAACTCGATTCCATATCGCACGCAGTCGACGGTGTTTTTGCAGTACTGCATCTATTTGCGCTCAGAGCTCGTAAAAGTTCAAAGGAAACAGTAGAGTACAAAGTTCAGCGAAGCTTGATGCACGTTTAGATCACTTCCTGCAGAGTTGGCAATTTTTCGAATAAATTCTTCGAACAAAATTTAATTCACGAAATATTTCAAATAGAAATAGACATATTTTTTCACCGAGTATTTCGAATAGTATTTTACTCGTACTTTTATTCGATATATTTACTGAAATAACGTAATGAAGAGGAATCGGGAGTCCTTTTCTCATCATTTTGGTTTATTCAATAAAGTTCGAATAAAATTTTATTCAAAGAATTTATTTGGAATATTATTCGAATAATATTTTATTCGAAGAATTTATTCAAAATAGTTTTCGAATAAATGTTCTACAAAGAATTCATTTGTAATATTATTCCAATAAAATTTTGTATTCGAAGAATTCGTTCGCAATATTATTCCAATAAAATTTGATTAGAGGAATTTATTCGCAATATTACTCGGATAAAATTTTAATCTAATAATGCCCGACTCTGATTTCCTATTTCCCGAAATGGCGATTGCAGGAAACCAGACTTTACTCTATGCTAATAGTAGAAGCGAAATTCTGCAAAATTATCAGGGCATTGAAATTCTACAAATTCTACATGTATCTAAAAAAAGTGGGTATTAGCAAAAGCTTTTAATAGTTTATACGTGTGACATTTGGAACCTGCTTGGAGCAAATGAATGTTGCTCTGGTCGATTCCGCATATTCAAATATAATCGCCACATCGTAGATGGAGTCATTTGTAACGGTGATAAATGAAACATCAAATCGTAGTGGAAGTCGCGTTACCAATTCATTAATAATCGTAATAAATATCATCAGAAAACCGCTTGACAAATTAATAATTGCTCGTATGTTCCATAAGTAATGTGCCATTTAACGGCGTGTTATAACGTATGTACCATAAAGACTTTTATTATACTACCCTTGGTAGAAAGTGCACTGTTCCTGCGGCTACTGTATGAATTAGAGAAGCTGATAGAAAGTGTTACATATGAGCATAGAAATTTTAATGTTTTAGTTATCAGTCTTTTTTCTTTAATCCTTGCGTTACCAATAACCGGTGTTGCAACATTGTTATATCTGGTTATGCAAAACTATAAAGATATTATAGTAAGGCAACGTTGGTATGACCGCCATGGGTGCAAGCTATCCTGATAATCATAAAATTCTACTTTCGAAGAGTGATGCAATTTTGTTGCATAAAGGTATGAATCATGTTTGATTCTCCGATCAGTATGAAATTTTTTCAAAAACCTATTTTACATTTTGCCAATGAACGTATGTTTTATTGACAATGAAATATAAATCGGCCTTAACCATTTTTAAAATCATTTACTATGCGCATCGAATTGATCTCGTGACCATTCCTGATTCACGTGATCCAAAAAACGATCGATATATTTTATACATTTATTAATAGAAATTTTATTACACCGCGGTATCGAAGGTTACACGAAAATTAAAAATAAATCCACCACGTTCCCATAACACAGTTTATGCTCGTTGATAAACGATAAAGTTTATCAGACCTTCGAGCTCGGCTGTTTATTTAATCTTTCACACGGACACACCAAACTAATCGTCCATGTTATCATTAACACTTCATTCCGTGTACCAAACAGAGATACTGGAGTCCGAGAACTCGTAACCTGTGTACGTTCGTAGTGAAATATTTGAATCACGGCATTCTTACGTTACACGATTTGTTTATATTTAACGAACTTCCTAAAATCGTAATTGTGGTATAAAAGTGCTCGGTAGTAAAAATACTTTCCTTTTTGTTCGTAAACTGTTTTGGACTTGACGATCTTTCCGAGTCTTTAAGTTAACATCGTTTGGTGTTCAAGAAATATATTTTAATACCATAGTGATCAAAAATTTCTATTCTCTTATTCGTCATTGCTTCTTTTACTTATTGCTCTAATTCTACAAGGATTGTCCTACTGTAGTACTTATGTTACTTCTTTTTATTATTTCTTCTCCTCAACAATCTCTCAGAAGCACTGCTCTAGTTTCTAATCTCTTATTGCATCCTCAATTCTAGCTTTCTCGTTTGCTTCTCAACAATTCCGTATTAAATATTTTACTAATGCGAGTAATTAACACTCGAACGGTGGATCTTCGTGATAAAAAAATAACAGAGGATCATTTGCCATTTTTTTTGTTAATTTTGTTCGACATATTTTTTGAGGTACTTTTAGTTGTTCTACAGATCCCATGTGCAATTTCAATTAATCGTCACAAAGTCAAATAATAACATTTATAAAAAATTCTTCAAAAAATGACAAAAGTTCGTTTTCTATGGAAACAGTGTAAGAAAATATATAATAATAATATTATATAATAATTTAAAAAACAATTTCAATATATATTATTTAAGAATAAAATTCGTCTCCATTTTCGTTATTTCTATTAATAATCCTTCATTAACTCCTTAACACGTTAATAATAAAGAGGTTTGAAAGTGACGCACGCATTGCCTTATAAAAATTACAAGATGTATTCATTTAAATTCACCACAGTTCTCTTTAACAGTGTGTACCTGAATTAAGTAATATAGTTAACAATTTTTAATGGAATCAGCTTTATGATTTCAATATTTATAAAATAAAAAATATTAAACCGGTGTTAATACAAAAAAGTAAAACTAATACATATTTCCTATGGTAAATGTGAGCTTTCTAGCTTCGATTTCATTAACACTTAACCAACCTAGCCAGTCAAAATGACCGGTTTCACATATTTTGTTTTAAAGTAGCTGAAATTATAAGGATACCTTCATAGAAAACGATCGAATAAATTTGTTCATCTAAGCAGATACAATTATAATAAAAATGGCGTAAGACGTAAATAAATATATGATCTTGTCATCATTATAAAGCAATACGCGTTTAGTTACTTTTAGAGCTTGATAGGTTTGGCGTTAATTAAACGACTTTGATATCGTGGGAAATTTTAAAGCAACACAAACGACGGAGCATTGGCCAGCTCGTACCGTCAACTTCTCCATTCTCGCGATTCAAAACACACGCGATCATAACTAGAATTTACGATGCATCGCTTACTGTACTGGACGCTGGGGACCTTTGGTTCGGCCAATAAAACTGATCGATTGAAAGTTTTATTTTTCCACGATTTTATTACGCGATAAATCAAATCGTGCTACTTTAGAGGTCGCGATCGCGTGTCCCGCGGAACATTCGGCATTACATAATCAATCGGCGGCTGTCGAGCCGCTGAAATTCGCCGGACTCATTGACGCGGACAACCCAGAACGGTAGTAGAGAGGTCGCCATATTCCAGATACCGGCGAGCTGTTCGTACCGCGGTTTCGAAATCGGAAGCCGATCCATCGGCCTTGCGTATCGCGGTTGTACCGGCCGCTCGAGAATTTCTTTCATCTAGACCAGAGCAAATCTGAACTTTCCCTGAAGGCGTCAATTGTGCAATCCACGCTGACGTACTCAAATAATGAAAAATTGTGCAACGATCGCGGCATTCTTGTCTATTATATATATATATCTAGTGCAATGGAGTACGAGTTAGAATGAACTATTCTGCGGAGTTGCATATTTAAAGTGCAATACAACAGCAGGTGAAAGTTGATTTTTGTCTACCTCCTTTTGCTTAAAAATCTAATTATGGCTTTAGATTATTATACGGTAGAGGAGCTGGGGGGTAATTGTGAAGTAACAGTTTATAAATTATAAAGTTAATTATTCAAAAATAAACAAAGTAAAATAATAAAAAGATATAATATGTCTTGTTCGATAAATATAAAGTTAATCATTCAAAAATAAATGAAATAAAACAATAAAAAGATTGAATATGCCTTATTTTGTAAATATAACATTAATTATGCCCGAGTACATACCAAAGGCACAGCAATTGCGTTTCGTTTCGTTACACTTAAGAAATGCGCATCTTATTCGATTTAGAAAATGGTCCCCTGCATTAATTTTGCCAACGTTCGATTTACAGTACAATCTCGATTATTCGAACCTTCAATATCTGAATCTTTTATTGACCCAACAGGTTTCGCATGTGAATAGATCAGTCTAAGACGGTCTATATGCAACGCTATTATTGTATAAATCTATAAGAATTTAATGTTGCATCGTAGCTGCATAGATATTCGTTTACGTATCTGTCAGATAATTAAACGGACATTTAACATCTCGTAACGAAGATTTCTATTAACAATCTCTTAAACGTGGATGTTACCTCGTAAGACAATATTCAATTCTTTGCAATACGATTTCTATTATAGCTATGTATATTGATTAACATTTCTTAATAACTTCTTCCGCAATAATTTTCCTAATAGATCGAGACAGTTTTTGTTCCTTGTACGTTTTCATTTACTTTAATTCCTAGATTTTGTTAACAGAAGAATCAAATTTTGTTTCGATCTGAAAGAAATGAATAACATTCATATTTTGTACATTATATACATATAAAATGATCACCGAGTCTGTCTAAACCGAGCATTTCAACACGTTCGAGAACCGGAAAAGTTACATAAAATCAAACCAATTTCTTGAATAAAGCAAAGATTAAGAAATCGAGATTTATGATATCGATTACATTCCGCAGAT